CTCGTCTATCTATCTATCTATCTATCTATCTATGCGTTTTGTGTGTTTGGGTGGTGTTCGCTGGCTCGAGTTGCTCGAGATATGTTCGAGAGATGCTCGTCAAAAAGCTGTAAGTGCTGTGTGGACGTCTGTATTTATCAGTCAGTACGTACGTATCAATGAGAGCGCCGTGCAGCGCTGTGGATACAACAACCACAAGGCATCGGAGGAAACATCGATTGCTTGCACGGCTTTGTGATCGGTATAGCTGTCCATGAGAGACGTCCGTTGCGTGCTTCCGATGGTATCCGAGACGGTGATTATGCCTCATAAATTGTGAGATCGTCACGTAAGTGGTAGCTCACGTACGGAGCACATATTGCATAGGTCATAATAACGTCCGTCTTGCAAACGAACGGCGGTTGTGATTTGATGATTGCCAAAAGGTCAAGAAGTCACGTTAAGAAAAAGTTTGTATATTTATGCTGTTTGTTACGAAAAATGGAAGTGAACCAGTCATGTCTGCCGCGAGACGGGCTTTGTGCAATTGGTGTGACGCTGTTTCGGCGAAGACGGCAGTCGACGCCAGCAACCGTTCGAGCGCGCGAGCAGCAGAGCTAGCTGTGGTGGTAGGTGATGTGCCGCGTCGGTCTTTTCTTGTTTGTGGTTTGTGGGCCTTAGCAGTAGTAGAGGCCTCCAAAAGGCATGCCAAGACTGCAGCCACCGCCGTAAAGACCGGCGCCGAAGATGTTTCAGTACCTGAGCGGGTATGCCCATCCGGGGACGCCCCCGCAGCGGAAGCCAAAGCGGTAGGGCCCGAAACCGGCGCATCCGCCCCAGCGGTGGGATGGCGCTCCGTCAGACCAAGTGCAACTAGAGACCATGAGATAGTATCTATCGTTATCGTACGATGAGTGGTTGAGTGGTTGATGGTGACAGCAGCACGGACACATCGGACGAACGCTCTGGATGTCGCTACACGTCTATCTATCTATCTATATATGCGTTTTGTGTGTTTGGGTGGTGTTCGCTGGCTCGAGTTGCTCGAGATATGTTCGAGAGATGCTCGTCAAAAAGCTGTAAGTGCTGTGTGGACGTCTGTATTTTTCAGTCAGTACGTACGTATCAATGAGAGCGCCGTGCAGCGCTGTGGATACAACAACCACAAGGCATCGGAGGAAACATCGATTGCTTGCACGGCTTTGTGATCGGTATAGCTGTCCATGAGAGACGTCCGTTGCGTGCTTCCGATGGTATTGGAGACGGTGATTATGCCTCATAAATTGTGAGATCGTCACGTAAGTGGTAGCTCACGTACGGAGCACATATTGCATAGGTCATAATAACGTCCGTCTTGCAAACGAACGGCGGTTGTGATTTGATGATTGCCAAAAGGTCAAGAAGTCACGTTAAGAAAAAGTTTGTATATTTATGCTGTTTGTTACGAAAAATGGAAGTGAACCAGTCATGTCTGCCGCGAGACGGGCTTTGTGCAATTGGTGTGACGCTGTTTCGGCGAAGACGGCAGTCGACGCCAGCAACCGTTCGAGCGCGCGAGCAGCAGAGATAGCTGTGGTGGTAGGTGATGTGCCGCGTCGGTCTTTTCTTGTTCGTGGTTTGTGGACCTTAGCAGTAGTAGAGGCCTCCAAACGGCATGCCAAGACTGCAGCCACCGCCGTAAAGACCGACGCCGAAGATGTTCCAGTAGCTGAGCGGGTATGCCCATCCGGGGACGCCCCCGCAGCGGAAGCCGAAGCGGTAGGGCCCGAAACCAGCCCATCCGCCCCAGCTGCCCCAACCGCCGTGACCCCATCCAAAACGACGACCATGACCCCATCCGAAACCCTCCTGCTTGCCAGCATTGTCAGCGTCGTCGTGCTTGGTCTGCATTGCCTCCAGAATCTCTTTCGCGTCGGCGGGCTGGTCGATTTGCTCAATGGATCCGGTGAACTCGACGCCATCGGGCATGGAGTTGTGTTTAGCCGCCTCGAGCGCCTTGGACTGTGACAGCACGGTCGTGGCCGGATCCGAAGCGGACATGTCGACTCCGGCAATGGTACCGGTGACGACGTTCATCATAGCGACGATGGCAGCGATGGTGATGACGGCAAACTTCATGTTGTGTCGCGTGGTGGGTAGTGAGTGTGGTATCACGGGTGTGTTGCTTGTGCTGTAGGAGGCAAATGGCGTTGTGTCGAGTGGACCGGTGGGATGGTGCTCCGTTAGACCAAGTGCAACTAGAGACCATGAGTCAGTATCTATCGTTATCGTACGATGAGTGGTTGAGTGGTTGATGGTGACAGCAGCACGGACACATCGGACGAACGCTTTGGGTGTCGCTGCACGTCTATCTATCTATCTATCGATGCGTTTTGTGTGTTTGGGTGGTGTTCGCTGGCTCGAGTTGCTCGAGATATGTTCGAGAGATGCTCGTCAAAAAGCTGTAAGTGCTGTGTGGACGTCTGTATTTATCAGTCAGTACGTACGTATCAATGAGAGCGCCGTGCAGCGCTGTGGCTACAACAACCACAAGGCATCGGAGGAAACATCGATTGCTTGCACGGCTTTGGGATCGGTATCGCTGTCCATGAGAGACGTCCGTTGCGTGCTTCCGATGGTATTGGAGACGGTGATTATGCCTCATAAATTGTGAGATTGTCACGTAAGTGGTAGCTCACGTACGGAGCACATATTGCATAGGTCATAATAACGTCCGTCTTGCAAACGAACGGCGGTTGTGATTTGATGATTGCCAAAAGGTCAAGAAGTCACGTTAAGAAAAAGTTTGTATATTTATGCTGTTTGTTACGAAAAATGGAAGTGAACCAGTCATGTCTGCCGCGAGACGGGCTTTGTGCAATTGGTGTGACGCTGTTTCGGCGAAGACGGCAGTCGACGCCAGCAACCGTTCGAGCGCGCGAGCAGCAGAGATAGCTGTGGTGGTAGGTGATGTGCCGCGTCGGTCTTTTCTTGTTCGTGGTTTGTGGGCCTTAGCAGTAGTAGAGGCCTCCAAACGGCATGCCAAGACTGCAGCCACCGCCGTAAAGACCGACGCCGAAGATGTTCCAGTAGCTGAGCGGGTATGCCCATCCGGGGACGCCCCCGCAGCGGAAGCCGAAGCGGTAGGGCCCGAAACCAGCCCATCCGCCCCAGCTGCCCCAACCGCCGTGACCCCATCCAAAACGACGACCATGACCCCATCCGAAACCCTCCTGCTTGCCAGCATTGTCAGCGTCGTCGTGCTTGGTCTGCATTACCTCCAGAATCTCTTTCGCGTCGGCGGGCTGGTCGATTTGCTCAATGGATCCGGTGAACTCGACGCCATCGGGCATGGAGTTGTGTTTAGCCGCCTCGAGCGCCTTGGACTGTGACAGCACGGTCGTGGCCGGATCCGAAGCGGACATGTCGACTCCGGCAATGGTACCGGTGACGACGTTCATCATAGCGACGATGGCAGCGATGGTGATGACGGCAAACTTCATGTTGTGTCGCGTGGTGGGTAGTGAGTGTGGTATCACGGGTGTGTTGCTTGTGCTGTAGGAGGCAAATGGCGTTGTGTCGAGTGGACCGGTGGGATGGTGCTCCGTTAGACCAAGTGCAACTAGAGACCATGAGTCAGTATCTATCGTTATCGTACGATGAGTGGTTGAGTGGTTGATGGTGACAGCAGCACGGACACATCGGACGAACGCTTTGGGTGTCGCTGCACGTCTATCTATCTATCTATCGATGCGTTTTGTGTGTTTGGGTGGTGTTCGCTGGCTCGAGTTGCTCGAGATATGTTCGAGAGATGCTCGTCAAAAAGCTGTAAGTGCTGTGTGGACGTCTGTATTTATCAGTCAGTACGTACGTATCAATGAGAGCGCCGTGCAGCGCTGTGGCTACAACAACCACAAGGCATCGGAGGAAACATCGATTGCTTGCACGGCTTTGTGATCGGTATAGCTGTCCATGAGAGACGTCCGTTGCGTGCTTCCGATGGTATCCGAGACGGTGATTATGCCTCATAAATTGTGAGATTGTCACGTAAGTGGTAGCTCACGTACGGAGCACATATTGCATAGGTCATAATAACGTCCGTCTTGCAAACGAACGGCGGTTGTGATTTGATGATTGCCAAAAGGTCAAGAAGTCACGTTAAGAAAAAGTTTGTATATTTATGCTGTTTGTTACGAAAAATGGAAGTGAACCAGTCATGTCTGCCGCGAGACGGGCTTTGTGCAATTGGTGTGACGCTGTTTCGGCGAAGACGGCAGTCGACGCCAGCAACCGTTCGAGCGCGCGAGCAGCAGAGATAGCTGTGGTGGTAGGTGATGTGCCGCGTCGGTCTTTTCTTGTTTGTGGTTTGTGGGCCTTAGCAGTAGTAGAGGCCTCCAAACGGCATGCCAAGACTGCAGCCACCGCCGTAAAGACCGGCGCCGAAGATGTTCCAGTAGCTGAGCGGGTATGCCCATCCGGGGACGCCCCCGCAGCGGAAGCCGAAGCGGTAGGGCCCGAAACCAGCCCATCCGCCCCAGCTGCCCCAACCGCCGTGACCCCATCCAAAACGACGACCATGACCCCATCCGAAACCCTCCTGCTTGCCAGCATTGTCAGCGTCGTCGTGCTTGGTCTGCATTACCTCCAGAATCTCTTTCGCGTCGGCGGGCTGGTCGATTTGCTCAATGGATCCGGTGAACTCGACGCCATCGGGCATGGAGTTGTGTTTAGCCGCCTCGAGCGCCTTGGACTGTGACAGCACGTTCGTGGCCGGATCCGAAGCGGACATGTCGACTCCGGCAATGGTACCGGTGACGACGTTCATCATAGCGACGATGGCAGCGATGGTGATGACGGCAAACTTCATGTTGTGTCGCGTGGTGGGTAGTGAGTGTGGTATCACGGGTGTGTTGCTTGTGCTGTAGGAGGCAAATGGCGTTGTGTCGAGTGGACCGGTGGGATGGTGCTCCGTTAGACCAAGTGCAACTAGAGACCATGAGTCAGTATCTATCGTTATCGTACGATGAGTGGTTGAGTGGTTGATGGTGACAGCAGCACGGACACATCGGACGAACGCTTTGGGTGTCGCTGCACGTCTATCTATCTATCTATCGATGCGTTTTGTGTGTTTGGGTGGTGTTCGCTGGCTCGAGTTGCTCGAGATATGTTCGAGAGATGCTCGTCAAAAAGCTGTAAGTGCTGTGTGGACGTCTGTATTTTATCAGTCAGTACGTACGTATCAATGAGAGCGCCGTGCAGCGCTGTGGCTACAACAACCACAAGGCATCGGAGGAAACATCAATTGCTTGCACGGCTTTGTGATCGGTATAGCTGTCCATGAGAGACGTCCGTTGCGTGCTTCCGATGGTATCGGAGACGGTGATTATGCCTCATAAATTGTGAGATTGTCACGTAAGTGGTAGCTCACGTACGGAGCACATATTGCATAGGTCATAATAACGTCCGTCTTGCAAACGAACGGCGGTTGTGATTTGATGATTGCCAAAAGGTCAAGAAGTCACGTTAAGAAAAAGTTTGTATATTTATGCTGTTTGTTACGAAAAATGGAAGTGAACCAGTCATGTCTGCCGCGAGACGGGCTTTGTGCAATTGGTGTGACGCTGTTTCGGCGAAGACGGCAGTCGACGCCAGCAACCGTTCGAGCGCGCGAGCAGCAGAGATAGCTGTGGTGGTAGGTGATGTGCCGCGTCGGTCTTTTCTTGTTTGTGGTTTGTGGGCCTTAGCAGTAGTAGAGGCCTCCAAAAGGCATGCCAAGACTGCAGCCACCGCCGTAAAGACCGGCGCCGAAGATGTTCCAGTAGCTGAGCGGGTATGCCCATCCGGGGACGCCCCCGCAGCGGAAGCCGAAGCGGTAGGGCCCGAAACCAGCCCATCCGCCCCAGCTGCCCCAACCGCCGTGACCCCATCCAAAACGACGACCATGACCCCATCCGAAACCCTCCTGCTTGCCAGCATTGTCAGCGTCGTCGTGCTTGGTCTGCATTGCCTCCAGAATCTCTTTCGCGTCGGCGGGCTGGTCGATTTGCTCAATGGATCCGGTGAACTCGACGCCATCGGGCATGGAGTTGTGTTTAGCCGCCTCGAGCGCCTTGGACTGTGACAGCACGGTCGTGGCCGGATCCGAAGCGGACATGTCGACTCCGGCAATGGTACCGGTGACGACGTTCATCATAGCGACGATGGCAGCGATGGTGATGACGGCAAACTTCATGTTGTGTCGCGTGGTGGGTAGTGAGTGTGGTATCACGGGTGTGTTGCTTGTGCTGTAGGAGGCAAATGGCGTTGTGTCGAGTGGACCGGTGGGATGGTGCTCCGTTAGACCAAGTGCAACTAGAGACCATGAGTCAGTATCTATCGTTATCGTACGATGAGTGGTTGAGTGGTTGATGGTGACAGCAGCACGGACACATCGGACGAACGCTTTGGGTGTCGCTGCACGTCTATCTATCTATCTATCGATGCGTTTTGTGTGTTTGGGTTGTGTTCGCTGGCTCGAGTTGCTCGAGATATGTTCGAGAGATGCTCGTCAAAAAGCTGTAAGTGCTGTGTGGACGTCTGTATTTATCAGTCAGTACGTACGTATCAATGAGAGCGCCGTGCAGCGCTGTGGCTACAACAACCACAAGGCATCGGAGGAAACATCGATTGCTTGCACGGCTTTGTGATCGGTATCGCTGTCCATGAGAGACGTCCGTTGCGTGCTTCCGATGGTATCCGAGACGGTGATTATGCCTCATAAATTGTGAGATTGTCACGTAAGTGGTAGCTCACGTACGGAGCACATATTGCATAGGTCATAATAACGTCCGTCTTGCAAACGAACGGCGGTTGTGATTTGATGATTGCCAAAAGGTCAAGAAGTCACGTTAAGAAAAAGTTTGTATATTTATGCTGTTTGTTACGAAAAATGGAAGTGAACCAGTCATGTCTGCCGCGAGACGGGCTTTGTGCAATTGGTGTGACGCTGTTTCGGCGAAGACGGCAGTCGACGCCAGCAACCGTTCGAGCGCGCGAGCAGCAGAGCTAGCTGTGGTGGTAGGTGATGTGCCGCGTCGGTCTTTTCTTGTTTGTGGTTTGTGGGCCTTAGCAGTAGTAGAGGCCTCCAAAAGGCATGCCAAGACTGCAGCCACCGCCGTAAAGACCGGCGCCGAAGATGTTCCAGTAGCTGAGCGGGTATGCCCATCCGGGGACGCCCCCGCAGCGGAAGCCGAAGCGGTAGGGCCCGAAACCAGCCCATCCGCCCCAGCTGCCCCAACCGCCGTGACCCCATCCAAAACGACGACCATGACCCCATCCGAAACCCTCCTGCTTGCCAGCATTGTCAGCGTCGTCGTGCTTGGTCTGCATTACCTCCAGAATCTCTTTCGCGTCGGCGGGCTGGTCGATTTGCTCAATGGATCCGGTGAACTCGACGCCATCGGGCATGGAGTTGTGTTTAGCCGCCTCGAGCGCCTTGGACTGTGACAGCACGGTCGTGGCCGGATCCGAAGCGGACATGTCGACTCCGGCAATGGTACCGGTGACGACGTTCATCATAGCGACGATGGCAGCGATGGTGATGACGGCAAACTTCATGTTGTGTCGCGTGGTGGGTAGTGAGTGTGGTATCACGGGTGTGTTGCTTGTGCTGTAGGAGGCAAATGGCGTTGTGTCGAGTGGACCGGTGGGATGGCGCTCCGTCAGACCAAGTGCAACTAGAGACCATGAGTCAGTATCTATCGTTATCGTACGATGAGTGGTTGAGTGGTTGATGGTGACAGCAGCACGGACACATCGGACGAACGCTTTGGGTGTCGCTGCACGTCTATCTATCTATCTATCGATGCGTTTTGTGTGTTTGGGTGGTGTTCGCTGGCTCGAGTTGCTCGAGATATGTTCGAGAGATGCTCGTCAAAAAGCTGTAAGTGCTGTGTGGACGTCTGTATTTTATCAGTCAGTACGTACGTATCAATGAGAGCGCCGTGCAGCGCTGTGGCTACAACAACCACAAGGCATCGGAGGAAACATCGATTGCTTGCACGGCTTTGTGATCGGTATAGCTGTCCATGAGAGACGTCCGTTGCGTGCTTCCGATGGTATCCGAGACGGTGATTATGCCTCATAAATTGTGAGATCGTCACGTAAGTGGTAGCTCACGTACGGAGGACATATTGCATAGGTCATAATAACGTCCGTCTTGCAAACGAACGGCGGTTGTGATTTGATGATTGCCAAAAGGTCAAGAAGTCACGTTAAGAAAAAGTTTGTATATTTATGCTGTTTGTTACGAAAAATGGAAGTGAACCAGTCATGTCTGCCGCGAGACGGGCTTTGTGCAATTGGTGTGACGCTGTTTCGGCGAAGACGGCAGTCGACGCCAGCAACCGTTCGAGCGCGCGAGCAGCAGAGCTAGCTGTGGTGGTAGGTGATGTGCCGCGTCGGTCTTTTCTTGTTTGTGGTTTGTGGACCTTAGCAGTAGTAGAGGCCTCCAAACGGCATGCCAAGACTGCAGCCACCGCCGTAAAGACCGGCGCCGAAGATGTTCCAGTAGCTGAGCGGGTATGCCCATCCGGGGACGCCCCCGCAGCGGAAGCCGAAGCGGTAGGGCCCGAAACCAGCCCATCCGCCCCAGCTGCCCCAACCGCCGTGACCCCATCCAAAACGACGACCATGACCCCATCCGAAACCCTCCTGCTTGCCAGCATTGTCAGCGTCGTCGTGCTTGGTCTGCATTGCCTCCAGAATCTCTTTCGCGTCGGCGGGCTGGTCGATTTGCTCAATGGATCCGGTGAACTCGACGCCATCGGGCATGGAGTTGTGTTTAGCCGCCTCGAGCGCCTTGGACTGTGACAGCACGGTCGTGGCCGGATCCGAAGCGGACATGTCGACTCCGGCAATGGTACCGGTGACGACGTTCATCATAGCGACGATGGCAGCGATGGTGATGACGGCAAACTTCATGTTGTGTCGCGTGGTGGGTAGTGAGTGTGGTATCACGGGTGTGTTGCTTGTGCTGTAGGAGGCAAATGGCGTTGTGTCGAGTGGACCGGTGGGATGGTGCTCCGTTAGACCAAGTGCAACTAGAGACCATGAGTCAGTATCTATCGTTATCGTACGATGAGTGGTTGAGTGGTTGATGGTGACAGCAGCACGGACACATCGGACGAACGCTTTGGGTGTCGCTGCACGTCTATCTATCTATCTATCGATGCGTTTTGTGTGTTTGGGTGGTGTTCGCTGGCTCGAGTTGCTCGAGATATGTTCGAGAGATGCTCGTCAAAAAGCTGTAAGTGCTGTGTGGACGTCTGTATTTATCAGTCAGTACGTACGTATCAATGAGAGCGCCGTGCAGCGCTGTGGCTACAACAACCACAAGGCATCGGAGGAAACATCGATTGCTTGCACGGCTTTGTGATCGGTATAGCTGTCCATGAGAGACGTCCGTTGCGTGCTTCCGATGGTATCCGAGACGGTGATTATGCCTCATAAATTGTGAGATTGTCACGTAAGTGGTAGCTCACGTACGGAGCACATATTGCATAGGTCATAATAACGTCCGTCTTGCAAACGAACGGCGGTTGTGATTTGATGATTGCCAAAAGGTCAAGAAGTCACGTTAAGAAAAAGTTTGTATATTTATGCTGTTTGTTACGAAAAATGGAAGTGAACCAGTCATGTCTGCCGCGAGACGGGCTTTGTGCAATTGGTGTGACGCTGTTTCGGCGAAGACGGCAGTCGACGCCAGCAACCGTTCGAGCGCGCGAGCAGCAGAGATAGCTGTGGTGGTAGGTGATGTGCCGCGTCGGTCTTTTCTTGTTCGTGGTTTGTGGGCCTTAGCAGTAGTAGAGGCCTCCAAACGGCATGCCAAGACTGCAGCCACCGCCGTAAAGACCGACGCCGAAGATGTTCCAGTAGCTGAGCGGGTATGCCCATCCGGGGACGCCCCCGCAGCGGAAGCCGAAGCGGTAGGGCCCGAAACCAGCCCATCCGCCCCAGCTGCCCCAACCGCCGTGACCCCATCCAAAACGACGACCATGACCCCATCCGAAACCCTCCTGCTTGCCAGCATTGTCAGCGTCGTCGTGCTTGGTCTGCATTGCCTCCAGAATCTCTTTCGCGTCGGCGGGCTGGTCGATTTGCTCAATGGATCCGGTGAACTCGACGCCATCGGGCATGGAGTTGTGTTTAGCCGCCTCGAGCGCCTTGGACTGTGACAGCACGGTCGTGGCCGGATCCGAAGCGGACATGTCGACTCCGGCAATGGTACCGGTGACGACGTTCATCATAGCGACGATGGCAGCGATGGTGATGACGGCAAACTTCATGTTGTGTCGCGTGGTGGGTAGTGAGTGTGGTATCACGGGTGTGTTGCTTGTGCTGTAGGAGGCAAATGGCGTTGTGTCGAGTGGACCGGTGGGATGGTGCTCCGTTAGACCAAGTGCAACTAGAGACCATGAGTCAGTATCTATCGTTATCGTACGATGAGTGGTTGAGTGGTTGATGGTGACAGCAGCACGGACACATCGGACGAACGCTTTGGGTGTCGCTGCACGTCTATCTATCTATCTATCGATGCGTTTTGTGTGTTTGGGTGGTGTTCGCTGGCTCGAGTTGCTCGAGATATGTTCGAGAGATGCTCGTCAAAAAGCTGTAAGTGCTGTGTGGACGTCTGTATTTATCAGTCAGTACGTACGTATCAATGAGAGCGCCGTGCAGCGCTGTGGCTACAACAACCACAAGGCATCGGAGGAAACATCGATTGCTTGCACGGCTTTGTGATCGGTATAGCTGTCCATGAGAGACGTCCGTTGCGTGCTTCCGATGGTATCCGAGACGGTGATTATGCCTCATAAATTGTGAGATTGTCACGTAAGTGGTAGCTCACGTACGGAGCACATATTGCATAGGTCATAATAACGTCCGTCTTGCAAACGAACGGCGGTTGTGATTTGATGATTGCCAAAAGGTCAAGAAGTCACGTTAAGAAAAAGTTTGTATATTTATGCTGTTTGTTACGAAAAATGGAAGTGAACCAGTCATGTCTGCCGCGAGACGGGCTTTGTGCAATTGGTGTGACGCTGTTTCGGCGAAGACGGCAGTCGACGCCAGCAACCGTTCGAGCGCGCGAGCAGCAGAGATAGCTGTGGTGGTAGGTGATGTGCCGCGTCGGTCTTTTCTTGTTCGTGGTTTGTGGACCTTAGCAGTAGTAGAGGCCTCCAAACGGCATGCCAAGACTGCAGCCACCGCCGTAAAGACCGACGCCGAAGATGTTCCAGTAGCTGAGCGGGTATGCCCATCCGGGGACGCCCCCGCAGCGGAAGCCGAAGCGGTAGGGCCCGAAACCAGCCCATCCGCCCCAGCTGCCCCAACCGCCGTGACCCCATCCAAAACGACGACCATGACCCCATCCGAAACCCTCCTGCTTGCCAGCATTGTCAGCGTCGTCGTGCTTGGTCTGCATTACCTCCAGAATCTCTTTCGCGTCGGCGGGCTGGTCGATTTGCTCAATGGATCCGGTGAACTCGACGCCATCGGGCATGGAGTTGTGTTTAGCCGCCTCGAGCGCCTTGGACTGTGACAGCACGTTCGTGGCCGGATCCGAAGCGGACATGTCGACTCCGGCAATGGTACCGGTGACGACGTTCATCATAGCGACGATGGCAGCGATGGTGATGACGGCAAACTTCATGTTGTGTCGCGTGGTGGGTAGTGAGTGTGGTATCACGGGTGTGTTGCTTGTGCTGTAGGAGGCAAATGGCGTTGTGTCGAGTGGACCGGTGGGATGGTGCTCCGTTAGACCAAGTGCAACTAGAGACCATGAGTCAGTATCTATCGTTATCGTACGATGAGTGGTTGAGTGGTTGATGGTGACAGCAGCACGGACACATCGGACGAACGCTCTGGGTGTCGCTGCACGTCTATCTATCTATCTATCGATGCGTTTTGTGTGTTTGGGTGGTGTTCGCTGGCTCGAGTTGCTCGAGATATGTTCGAGAGATGCTCGTCAAAAAGCTGTAAGTGCTGTGTGGACGTCTGTATGTTTATCAGTCAGTACGTACGTATCAATGAGAGCGCCGTGCAGCGCTGTGGCTACAACAACCACAAGGCATCGGAGGAAACATCGATTGCTTGCACGGCTTTGTGATCGGTATCGCTGTCCATGAGAGACGTCCGTTGCGTGCTTCCGATGGTATTGGAGACGGTGATTATGCCTCATAAATTGTGAGATTGTCACGTAAGTGGTAGCTCACGTACGGAGCACATATTGCATAGGTCATAATAACGTCCGTCTTGCAAACGAACGGCGGTTGTGATTTGATGATTGCCAAAAGGTCAAGAAGTCACGTTAAGAAAAAGTTTGTATATTTATGCTGTTTGTTACGAAAAATGGAAGTGAACCAGTCATGTCTGCCGCGAGACGGGCTTTGTGCAATTGGTGTGACGCTGTTTCGGCGAAGACGGCAGTCGACGCCAGCAACCGTTCGAGCGCGCGAGCAGCAGAGATAGCTGTGGTGGTAGGTGATGTGCCGCGTCGGTCTTTTCTTGTTCGTGGTTTGTGGGCCTTAGCAGTAGTAGAGGCCTCCAAACGGCATGCCAAGACTGCAGCCACCGCCGTAAAGACCGACGCCGAAGATGTTCCAGTAGCTGAGCGGGTATGCCCATCCGGGGACGCCCCCGCAGCGGAAGCCGAAGCGGTAGGGCCCGAAACCAGCCCATCCGCCCCAGCTGCCCCAACCGCCGTGACCCCATCCAAAACGACGACCATGACCCCATCCGAAACCCTCCTGCTTGCCAGCATTGTCAGCGTCGTCGTGCTTGGTCTGCATTGCCTCCAGAATCTCTTTCGCGTCGGCGGGCTGGTCGATTTGCTCAATGGATCCGGTGAACTCGACGCCATCGGGCATGGAGTTGTGTTTAGCCGCCTCGAGCGCCTTGGACTGTGACAGCACGTTCGTGGCCGGATCCGAAGCGGACATGTCGACTCCGGCAATGGTACCGGTGACGACGTTCATCATAGCGACGATGGCAGCGATGGTGATGACGGCAAACTTCATGTTGTGTCGCGTGGTGGGTAGTGAGTGTGGTATCACGGGTGTGTTGCTTGTGCTGTAGGAGGCAAATGGCGTTGTGTCGAGTGGACCGGTGGGATGGTGCTCCGTTAGACCAAGTGCAACTAGAGACCATGAGTCAGTATCTATCGTTATCGTACGATGAGTGGTTGAGTGGTTGATGGTGACAGCAGCACGGACACATCGGACGAACGCTTTGGGTGTCGCTGCACGTCTATCTATCTATCTATCGATGCGTTTTGTGTGTTTGGGTGGTGTTCGCTGGCTCGAGTTGCTCGAGATATGTTCGAGAGATGCTCGTCAAAAAGCTGTAAGTGCTGTGTGGACGTCTGTATTTATCAGTCAGTACGTACGTATCAATGAGAGCGCCGTGCAGCGCTGTGGCTACAACAACCACAAGGCATCGGAGGAAACATCGATTGCTTGCACGGCTTTGTGATCGGTATAGCTGTCCATGAGAGACGTCCGTTGCGTGCTTCCGATGGTATCGGAGACGGTGATTATGCCTCATAAATTGTGAGATTGTCACGTAAGTGGTAGCTCACGTACGGAGCACATATTGCATAGGTCATAATAACGTCCGTCTTGCAAACGAACGGCGGTTGTGATTTGATGATTGCCAAAAGGTCAAGAAGTCACGTTAAGAAAAAGTTTGTATATTTATGCTGTTTGTTACGAAAAATGGAAGTGAACCAGTCATGTCTGCCGCGAGACGGGCTTTGTGCAATTGGTGTGACGCTGTTTCGGCGAAGACGGCAGTCGACGCCAGCAACCGTTCGAGCGCGCGAGCAGCAGAGATAGCTGTGGTGGTAGGTGATGTGCCGCGTCGGTCTTTTCTTGTTTGTGGTTTGTGGGCCTTAGCAGTAGTAGAGGCCTCCAAAAGGCATGCCAAGACTGCAGCCACCGCCGTAAAGACCGGCGCCGAAGATGTTCCAGTAGCTGAGCGGGTATGCCCATCCGGGGACGCCCCCGCAGCGGAAGCCGAAGCGGTAGGGCCCGAAACCAGCCCATCCGCCCCAGCTGCCCCAACCGCCGTGACCCCATCCAAAACGACGACCATGACCCCATCCGAAACCCTCCTGCTTGCCAGCATTGTCAGCGTCGTCGTGCTTGGTCTGCATTACCTCCAGAATCTCTTTCGCGTCGGCGGGCTGGTCGATTTGCTCAATGGATCCGGTGAACTCGACGCCATCGGGCATGGAGTTGTGTTTAGCCGCCTCGAGCGCCTTGGACTGTGACAGCACGGTCGTGGCCGGATCCGAAGCGGACATGTCGACTCCGGCAATGGTACCGGTGACGACGTTCATCATAGCGACGATGGCAGCGATGGTGATGACGGCAAACTTCATGTTGTGTCGCGTGGTGGGTAGTGAGTGTGGTATCACGGGTGTGTTGCTTGTGCTGTAGGAGGCAAATGGCGTTGTGTCGAGTGGACCGGTGGGATGGTGCTCCGTTAGACCAAGTGCAACTAGAGACCATGAGTCAGTATCTATCGTTATCGTACGATGAGTGGTTGAGTGGTTGATGGTGACAGCAGCACGGACACATCGGACGAACGCTCTGGGTGTCGCTGCACGTCTATCTATCTATCTATCGATGCGTTTTGTGTGTTTGGGTGGTGTTCGCTGGCTCGAGTTGCTCGAGATATGTTCGAGAGATGCTCGTCAAAAAGCTGTAAGTGCTGTGTGGACGTCTGTATTTATCAGTCAGTACGTACGTATCAATGAGAGCGCCGTGCAGCGCTGTGGCTACAACAACCACAAGGCATCGGAGGAAACATCAATTACTTGCACGGCTTTGTGATCGGTATAGCTGTCCATGAGAGACGTCCGTTGCGTGCTTCCGATGGTATCGGAGACGGTGATTATGCCTCATAAATTGTGAGATTGTCACGTAAGTGGTAGCTCACGTACGGAGCACATATTGCATAGGTCATAATAACGTCCGTCTTGCAAACGAACGGCGGTTGTGATTTGATGATTGCCAAAAGGTCAAGAAGTCACGTTAAGAAAAAGTTTGTATATTTATGCTGTTTGTTACGAAAAATGGAAGTGAACCAGTCATGTCTGCCGCGAGACGGGCTTTGTGCAATTGGTGTGACGCTGTTCCGGCGAAGACGGCAGTCGACGCCAGCAACCGTCCGAGCGCGCGAGCAGCAGAGCTAGCTGTGGTGGTAGGTGATGTGCCGCGTCGGTCTTTTCTTGTTTGTGGTTTGTGGGCCTTAGCAGTAGTAGAGGCCTCCAAAAGGCATGCCAAGACTGCAGCCACCGCCGTAAAGACCGGCGCCGAAGATGTTCCAGTAGCTGAGCGGGTATGCCCATCCGGGGACGCCCCCGCAGCGGAAGCCGAAGCGGTAGGGCCCGAAACCAGCCCATCCGCCCCAGCTGCCCCAACCGCCGTGACCCCATCCAAAACGACGACCATGACCCCATCCGAAACCCT